TAATAATAATAATAATAATAATAACAATAATAATAATAATAGATAATAGTAATAGTAATAATAATAACGATAATAATAATAATAATAACAATAATAATAACAATAATAATAACAATAATAATAATAGTGATAATAATAATAGTAGTAATAATAATAATAATAATAATAATAATAATAATAATAATAATAATAATAATAATAATAATAATAATGATAATGATAATAATAATAATAATAATAATAATAATAATAATAATAATAATGATAATAATAATAATAATAATAATAATGATAATAATAATAATAATAATAGTAATAATAAACAATAATAATAATAAATAACGATAATAAATTATTCGTTTTTTATTCCTTCATAAGGTTCAATCATATAATTTGTTGTGTTTAAGGTTGTTAAATTGAAAATCATAAAACCTTCTATTATGCACAGTATGCTTCCGAATTGGGCCATTTCAGTTTAGATAAATAAAGATTTTTCAAATTGACAATATCATTAAGAGAGGAGAGCTTGAGAAATTAATTGAATCAATATATCAGCCAATGATTAACAAACATTTTTCTAAAAATTTTCAAATTTGACTTGGAATTCAACTGCTCCTGAAGAAAGTTCATAATATCAATTACTGGATGGTTCTGTTAAAATCAACTAATAATTAAATGACTGATAGTCTTCACTTAAAGCCATTTATTTCGGGTGTAATTCTGCTTTATTAAATAATATTCAGTGATAACTGATAATAAAAGACAAATAAAAGACAATAGAAGCAATGACAAGTGGCAATAGAAATGACAATTCAATGATAATAGAAACATGCATAACTTTCGAGAAATGCCTTGAATTCTGCCTTGAATTTTGGAATTAAAGTGAACATAGAATGTGGCTAATATTATAGAAAAGTAATATATTAATTTTGGGAATCAGGTCAATACTTGTCACCTCTTCCGAAGTTTTGTAAAATAAGTGATGGACAACTTCCCACAAACTTCGCAGGTATAACAAGTATATGTTAATTCCAGTAGTATGTCCTGAATTTGTCAAACAGTTCAGTATTCCTTATTTCATGGCATACAAGTGATATTTTAGATTTTCAACAACTATCGACAAGCCAAACTACTGAATTGCCTTTTCAAGATATTGATTTCGGAATAGAATGTTTCACAAAAAACAAGGGAATGTGATTTGACAAACCGTACGATCACCAAACACCTCTATCATCTTCGGTTTTTTCAACTTAATAACGCAATTTAAATATTTCATGGATCAATACAGTCCTTATTCGCATCATACTTGTTCATGTGCATATTCTTCCTTGTAATTGATGCCCAATACTGCCAAACTATTCAATAGAAAGGTTTTCATGGTGTTCTAATAAACCCTGACTGTTAGCTTCTTATCGAAGCATATCTTGATTGACGTAATGTTTGACCACTGCTATTTTCACATTTCAATGAACCAATGAACCATTTGGTTTGGTTTTGTTTTGTCAGAAAACATTTGAAAAATCTTTCATTAGAGCATGGGTGTTTGTTAGATAACAGTAATTTCAACAAGTAGAAATTGATAAGAAGCGACGAAAAAGTACAGCCGACTATGTAATTTTCATCATTTGTATCACTGAGTATAATTTCATTTATATCCCTAATCCAGAAATCTAACAGAAAGAAAAATAACAAAGTTGTAAAGTAAAGCAGTTGGAATGGGAAAACAAACAAGTAGTTATACTCTGTACAGTATTATTTGTAATTACCTCGTCTGAAAAAGAAGTTCTTCCTCGTCCAAATTTAGAAGCATTTAGTGTAAGGGGAAATGCCTCAATTTGTTAAAAGAAATACAAAGGTTCCAAAAAGATGTTTTTGAAGCATCAATTGAATGCTGTTCTTACTTCTTCGAATTTACTAACTTCAACAATTTTCACCATTTCTTCTTTCTCACCACCAACTGCAAGGACACTTCCAGAATCTGGTGAAAAACGACATATATGTAGACCACCAAGGTTCATATTATGCTCTGTAATAAGTTCCAAATCACTGCTATTTTCTCCCAAGCGCCAAACTTTTAACAGCTGAAAATTGGAAAAAAACTTTATTACATATGTAAAGATTATTAAAAATGATCTGATGAGAGGTATGAGAATTGAGGAAAATTATATGAGGTCTTTAAAGAAGCATAACAAAAAAAAAAAAAATGCATGGAAATTTGACGTAAATACGATATTAAATAAGGTCTACGCTTTGGTTGAGGCAATGAATATCGGACTGTACTACAAATGTCTCTTGGGATGCTGAACAATTTTCGCTTTTTCTTCTTGCAATATGGTATGAATGCAGTGAAAGAAAAAAATTTTGGCTATTTTATAAAACTACTGAAAACTTAAAGAACAAGAAAAAATACCCCATCTTGACCACATGTTGATAACAGATCCTTGGTATAATAACTTTGTACCACGCTACGAGCACCACCGTCATGTACTTTTTTCGATATAACTGGTTCATTTTTACGCGTATCCATGTAATAGAAATGGCCTGGAAGTGAGGAAACACTATAGAACTGTACCCATACATACGTACAACAACACAAAAGTCGTCTTATCATATTTTAGCGAAACCAGTGCATGGAATTAAGATAGCTTCGCTAATTCTGCAATATGCACAACCAAGCATGGGTACAATAAAGAGAACCTGTTCCATATCAGGGCTAGCAATCATTACTTGTTCTAACAATTTCATTTCCAAAAATGTATTATACCTATTAACCAGATCGTTTTAACTACTGCTACAGAAGTTCGCTATTACATATATTTGTAAAATCTGAGCGAAATAATTTCCAAGTAAAACTAACCGTTGTCAGTGACGACAAAGAAATAAAATGGAGAGAAATGATTCCATGTAACTCGTTCCACTTCACCACTTACTTCCCACTGTTTGCATAAATTGTCAAATTTCCTACAGTCTGTTAATCCAACTTGACTTGATAAAGTCCCTGTTAAAAGAAGAGTCGATTCCGCTGGATGCCATTCCACGGCTTGCACCTTAAATCTCATGATCATAAGCAATAAAAAAAAAATGCAAACAACAGGCCTAACAAGAGATATCCGCTTCAAACAAATATACATATGAAATATATTCAAGAGTAAGTTCTCAAACAAAAACAAATAAGCGGTGCTTTGAATTACCATTCCATCGAAATGTGTTGCAATTGTTGCAGGTTTCGTTTCTTCAAGATCCCACAAAATCACGGAATTATCAGTGCCTCCAGATGCCAGAACATGTTCCGTTAAGCGATTCCACGCTAACGAAAGTACAGCACTAGAATGTTGTTGTGCACTGCCATCACGCTTTTGTCGCTTTCTAAAATGAATCGAAAAGTAAGTTTTAATTTTTAATATTTGGTTAAATTTAGCATATATAAGGCGATCCATTTTTACAGGTTTTCGAAAACCGTTCAGAAAACCGAAAGAAAAAAAGAAAGAAAAAGAAAAACCTCTTCGCGGTTTTCGCATTGCCAAGGATTACTGTCGGTTCTACTGAGTTCACTAAATCCAAATCCCAAATACTTATTGATGAATCAATACCGCCAATGGCTACGAGGTTGCCTTTTTTATTTTCATTTCCTGGGTCAAAATATATCGGCTCCAAACATAACGGTGGAACATCCAAAATGTAATCATGGTGAACGTACCAATCATTTTCTGCCTCATTGTATAAATACACTTCCAAAGTATATTCATTCTTAAAATAGGTCAAAAGACTGAAAGAAAATTAAGAAAACTTCACAGTTTCTGCTTATTTAAAAGTAATGAAAAGAAGTATAAAATAAAATGGAGCCGTTACGGACCTTGTAAACTTTAGCAACTGCAACAAGATTATCGTCCGGTTTAATTTCAAAATCTTCTTGGTCTTCTTCATCACTATTCACATAAGTCGTTATGTGTGGGTCTTCCATAGGTGATGCAAATGTCGTTATTCCAGCCAGAGGATTAGGCCTGAATTTTTTATCAAACAGATAAGAAAAGGAACAAAAAGCATTTCTTCTCTATAACATAGTATCGTCATGAAAGCACAAGCTCACCGGAAATTTTAAAGTACACCATAATAGTAGGAATATTTTATTTCTAGCTTTAATTTGATTCTAATCAACAAGTGCATAGTTCTACGTTTCTTATAAGAGGATAACTTTAATCCTATGAGAACTTCCAATGCATACCTTTCGTCATCATCTTCATCATATTGATCCAACCTATACCTGTCAGTATCCATTTCTTCGTCCGCTACATCGTGACTTGAACCACGAATAGCTCTCTGAAAAAGAGCAAATGTAAAGAAATATTTTACGCGACATTTAAATAAAACCATGTGTTTCTTCCTACGCAAATGTCTACTAAATAAATAGACATGTTAATAAATAAACGGAATTGGAAAAGTAAAAAGAGGGATTACTTGTCGTTCAGTTCCTCTACCAGATATATCATCCGTATCGGATAATTCACTGGTTTCCGGTTCGCCTTCTGAAAATCATTCACTCATTACTCTGAAAAGAAGTAATGTGAAATATGAAAACATCATTTAACTTATCTCCTTCCCAACGCTGCAATGACCATGATTATGAAATAGAAAAGAGCAAGCTAATGCGGTAAGGATCTTTTTGCACTTAAATTTAAGGAACTTTTTTGATGTTACATTAAAACTCTGCTGAAGTTCAAGAGAAACAAAATTAGTACTGGGAGAAGGGTAAACTCGTGAAACCGTACTCAGTTAACAAATCTTTTGAAATCCTAACCTTGAATTAAAGTTCTGATTTCTTCTGATGATAACTTCACCTTGTCCGGTACAGCTTTAGGTACTCCACGCTTTATCCACACTAAGTCTGCTATCAGTGACATTCTTAACAACTAAAACAGACAAAAGGCGACATCATGACAAGCTAACTTCTATATTTTTCATAAAATATCGCAACCCTTTTTGTGATCAGTTTGATAAATCAAGTGTCAAAATGTCTCGCGTGATCCTATCAATCCTACTAACCACCTTCTCTCTATCGGTATTTTATCCTAACTCGTCGTAAGTAACCTCCCCCCTAAAAACTAATAAACCTCGGTACCTCCCTTCTCCACCCCCTACCTCGCAACCCCGCCACCAAAACTCCCGACTCTTGTAAACTAAGACTTTGCTATAATCAAACCGTATGCAGGAATTCGTTTCAATTCTCCGAAGCCAAGAAGCACAAAATTTTTCGGACGCTAGGAGGAACTGTTCTGATGAGTCATCGGTCTCGGGGAACTTTATGGTTGCGATAGGTGTGACTAACTGTCGTTTTGACGCTGACATTGATTTTGATACTGATAAAATCAGTACTTTATCAGTAGCATTCTACCACCACCCCTAAAAACCAAATAAGGAAGCGATCTCACGGCAAGATGAAAATAGCATTGTTGTTAAGCAGTTCGCATGAACTTTCTTCTCCTAAAAATCCCGTGCAGATCGGGAAAATACGTCGCGGTGAATTATTATCAGTAAAATAGGGACGTTGCTAACTGATGAATGAATTAAAGAGAGTGAATGGATGGATAGCATAATAAGCCTCATCCGAATGGACTTATCAGCTGTTATCATCACTAAACGATCGTGAATGAATAAACGTCTTATCTTCACATTTTATTTCATTATATTATTACAGGCGTTTTTCACATAAATATCGCTCTTTAATGTATTCCATAACAGAAAATATCTATTCTTGAAAACATCTCTGAATGTTCAGAGAGAAAAAGCGTTGTTAAATAATTGTTAAAAAATTGAATTTTATAATTCAAATATGAATACATTTAGTTCATTCTTCCTGCATTTTATCCAGTCATTGTGCCTTCTTTTCGGGCTAAAAATGAATGGCAAATGAAATATGGTTTTTTTTTTTAACTGAATAATAAAATTATGTAAAAGTATTTCTTAGAGAATTGAATCTGTTATGGGAGACATAGTCATGTAACTTAAGTCTCGATAAATCTATCAGATATTTCCCAATAACCATATAATTTCTTTCTTATTATTCCAAATGGTTAATGGAATTTGCTTTCAGTATATTAGTTACATAAACTTCAAAGTGTTCGGATACGAGGAAAGAATGTAAAAGCAGTTTTGACGAAATTTAAAAGGAAAACCGGAAGTGATGGTTGTGGCTGTGGTAGCGCATAACTTCCAGCATCCGGTAAATTTGATAAACGAATAATCTCGTAGATGACATATCCGATGATCAGCAACTGAAGCATATCTTCATCCAATGGATACGACCAATAACTGACAGAAAGTTTATGCACAATAATGAATGAATTCATTGCGACGTTATTTGAGATTTATTTCGAGATCACATATTGCATACATAAAGGACTTCTCCCTCATTCTCTCTTACATCACTTTTGATTGGTTAATTTTGAAGGATAGAATGAAATTGAAAAAGGAAGCGAAATGAAAAAGAAATTTACATGCAGTTCTTTCGGTATATCGACTCCATTTGGAAACGAGAAATGACAAATCACATTCAACATCCCGAAATTTTACTCAGTAATAAATGCGAATTGACTCCTGAAAAATTCTGGTTTAAATCAAATTTTTTCTTTTGTTTGCTTAAAGTGGATGTTTCCAGTTATGATTTGGCGAAACTTTTAAAGAACTTTTAGACATTTCAAGAATTATTAGTTTCCGTTTCGATGCTTAGATAGATCTTTTGGTAATAAATTGCCATGTCAGTAATATAACACCAAAAGAATTCTTCTGATGAAAATTTATTGAGGCGAAAATTTCTTCCCTGCTTTTGAAAAGGATGAAATTTCGAATCGTTCTAACCTATCAGTGATTGCTGATCATCATGCAATAAATTAGTGCTCTTAAAAGATGGGAAGATAGAAAAAGTTGAAATGGATGAAATGAAAAAAGTGCTGATGGAAGTTGGGAGCTCTAATACTTAATGATTTTCAGGTCTAACGAATACCACTTTATTTATCCTTTGTTTAATATGTTCTACTTAATGCTCAATTAAAACAATTTTCAGTGAAATTACTGCCATTATACGAATTTTAATTACGATCTATAAAACGAGTAAAATCTCTTTTATCTGGCTTTTTTAGATTATTATTATTCGTATAACATGTTTGAACCACATATTCACAGAATGTTCCGGGAAAAACACGATAATTACACAATAAATTTAAAAATGACTCCAAAATCCGGATTGAAATTCTGGAAATACATCCTGGAAAATACATCAATTCTTATATTCTGGAAATACATCAATTCTTCTTTTCTTCTTATCCCAAAATCTTCCTTGCTTCTTTCTCTGTTTCACTATAATTTATGCAACTAAAGAAATTTTTCCAAAATAATAGTTTTTTCAAAAAAAATTTCTTTAGAATATATTTTTTCAGAACATACAATTCGAATTCAAAAAATTGAATATCGAATATTACGATCAGTAATTTTGAAATTATGGTTGGAAATATTGCAGTTTTTTTAATATGTTCCATGGAATTTCTAGCAAGTTAACCGTACTGAAATAAAAAATGCTAGTTATAAATGCTATTGCATTTATAAATATCATCAAAGAAAATTTATCAGTAAAGAAAAAGCATAGAAAAAGTAGGATACCTGTTATTAGAAATATATGGTATCGTCAGAAGTAAGACGGAAAAAAGATTTTTGAACAGGAACATCTTGGTATTATTGAATTAGAAAGTATTGCTGTTGAATTTGAATTAGGTTAATACTGTTTAGATTGATAGTTATGTTACGATTTATACTTCTTTGTCTCTGCTGTCCAAGAAAGAATTTCTCGGTCAACTTCCGGGAAGACAGTACACCTATACAGCAACGTAAAAGAATTGAAATAATTGTTCATCTTATTAAGTAATGATATATGTATGTGCTTAGGCCACCTGAATTCTTCTTGTGGCAAGAAAAAAGTTTGAATAACTATCATAGAAAAAGAAAATTTTGCATGACCTTCGTCATAAGAAAAAGAAAAAGTTTTGGATGAACCTTCAGAGTAAAAAATGTTTCAATAACCAAAAAGAGGAATTGTCCTGAGATGTTTCTGTCTTCTTGCTGATTGCATTCCTGATAACTGGACCAGTTCTGTGCATATCACCTTTTTTTTCCCCCCCCCCCTCCTTTCCCGAATTCTTGAATATATTTATTTACTAAGAATGAAGGATGCAATTTATATCTTGCTAATATAATGATTGCTAAAATATTTTATCATTTTAATGTTAATTTTCCCTACTTTTACTTTCATTTCTAAATTATACTTTTCATATAGTAATAATAAAAATGGCATACAATTTGTAAATAATTTATGAAAATAAAGCATTGCAACACAGAAATATTCAATTTATTTATTTTTTTACTTTTTAAATACCTTTTACTTTATACGTTTAATACTTTGATTCTTCGATTCTTTTCCACTATTTCTCTGTCTCTCTCTCTCTCTCTCTCTCTCTCTTTCTTTGTCCTTTTTGATTAACTTTTGTTGGGAGGTGTTTTTTTTAAACCTTTGTTATTGAGATTTGCAACTATTTTTATTCAAATTCTTATTTTAATCGTTAAATTTTTTGAGTGTATGATTTTAAATAGTTACTAAATAAGGGTATCCTTTCGTTTCATCCATTTTATTCCTTTGTCATCTTTGTATCCACTGTGACACATCCTGGTCATTTTTCACTTTTGCATTTGGCTATGATATATCCTGGCCAACAATCCAAGAAATAGACTTTAATGTCTCTTTGATCTTGATGTTCATCTCAAGATGTGTGGTGATACACTTACATGCTTGTATTAGAATATGATTCCTTGAAGGGAAGCAAAAAATGAGGAATGAATTGAAAAAATTATGAACTTTCTTTCTGTCCAATTTAGTTTTAATTTTGTGCATTTCTTAGAAATCACTAAAAGAGAAAAGAAAAGTCGCATGAATGCCATTTTTGTCAATTCCTAAATTAATATAAGCAAGTAACTATTTCTTCCAGAAAATTTTCAAACTTCAAGTAGTATGGATAACAAGCGACAATGGCTTTTTATCGCTATTATCATCATTGTTATTAAAGTGATTCATGTTGAAGCACAACCGTTTATCGGAGGTTCCTCAATTTTCAAATTTAATTTTAATGTTACTAAAAACTGCTCTTAACAAGTATTGCAGTATGTTAGTTGAGGTGAAGTAGATTGACTAAACGGGTAATCCTGTTTCTTTTTTTTTTGGATGCGACAATGTTTGACTTCACGAAATATGCGATGCAGGAATGATGGTAAACAATTTATTAGTATTAAATTTATCCTCTGCCTACATTGAACTATCCATTTCACTTCTGCAAATTACCTTACTTGCAGCATGGAACAATCCATTTGTCACAGTATCTAAATTAACAACAGCACTCGAAAAAAAACCGCTAGACTGCTGCCATCCAGCATCAATCCGAAATGTTTGCCATTTACACCGTTTTTGAATTTTATGAAGCAAGTTTAAATTTTAGTCCCGAATCCCTAGTAAGTTAGTTATTTTACAGGTTGAGTCCCATAAATTACCTCAATTACCTCTACGACATTCATCAGCACCACCAACAAAATTACAGCAACCGCAACAGTATTTCTATCATGAAACATCAGCGGTGAAAAAGGCTAGTTAATGTCTGCAAAAAGATTAAATGAAATTCCGCGTAGTTGACTTGTCAAAGATATTCGATTTCAACAAATCCATTTTGACCAATTGAAAGTTTTCTAAGATAAAATTTGGTGAAAGTAATTTTTTAAAAGTTCAGTTGATGACTTCCACCCTTTAAAATTAGCTATATACCTGTACTTTCCAATTCATCATACTTACTGTCCATTTACTTCCAGTTACTCTTATTAACTCGTCCGAGTCATATTTATTATTTATTAGGAAAGACTTTAATTTTAATTGACACAATATGTTTAAATTTAAGTTCATTGCTGAAGTGACAGGACATACGACTCGATACAGAGATCTAAACGAAAGTTACGACAAAGTTTTATTATTAATGCAAAAATATTTCACTCAGAAGGATCCAAAACATCGCCTTTATGTCAGTACTCTGAATTTAAATTTATTTTTGATAAAGTTCTTACGACAAGTTTCAGCATTCTCTGACTTGATTATAAGTGAAATTCAAGAAAAAAAACTTTTGACTTTTCAACCAGTAAGCAACCAATTTTCCAGCAATTACTTTGTGGTTAAATTTGTTACGAATTGGTAGCAAAATGAAGAAATAATGAAAATCAATCCATTGTGACAATTACAATTGACAGGAACAAGCTTTCCAGAAGATAATTGAATGATATTCAAGTTTCCTTCTCCACTATACCCTTACCAGATTGTAATCTCCTATAGGTAATCAGGAAATACAGAATCTTAGGAGAGATGATAACTTAACTAATTGATATAATTCGATCGATAAGTTGGAATGGTAAAAAAGAAATTTAATGTAACTATTAGATTTTGTTTCCCTCTACGAACATCCCCTCCCGAGAGGAAGAAGCTTGCGTGTCCTTATGAGGTTGTGAGTTATGGTGGCAGTGGCAATGGCTACCAGTAGGGCCTCACATCCCAGACAGATCTCAACAGGACCAGACAAAGTGACGAGCAAGAAAACAACCATTCTAGGAGGATAACTTTGATTCCAAATCCAGGCAGATGGAGCTCGTTTAGCCCCATAAGACCATTCGTCTCAGAGAAGGATACTCTAACTAAACCTACGTCCTAAGGACTTCGCTGCTATCGTCCAAAGTCGGTAGATCCTGGCAAATTAATTTTAGGAGTAAAGGGTGGGATCAATTCTCCTTCCAACTTCAAGACATTAATCGCTCAACATTAACCACGGAAATGGTAGCCTTGTTCGACATCATTCTGAATGACCAAGCAGCCTTCTCCAAGGAAAGCACTGCTTACATTACACGGACAAGGGTCTAGAAAAGGTGTTTAACCAATGTTTATCTCTATTCGCACTCGGCTGGTTAAGCTGCTAACGTGCATCGTCTGAACATCAGAACTATGGTTGATAATGCGAACAGTGGACATCTTAAGTGTCACTCTGCTCTAATCACTCACGAATTATCACAACTCAACATCGACACTGCTGTTCTTAGTAAAGTTTGTATCC